CGTCATTTGAGGAAAAAATTTCGAGAAAGACATTAAAGAATATACCCTGTATTATTATGCATAAATAAATAAATGCATATAATGCATGTTAATAATACAATGAATGGACTTGAAGTGATAAATAGTACTGCGTACAATAACATGAATGGTCCGGAAAATCATTACTGTACTACTATTATACTACGTATATATACTAGTACTGATCTATTTAAATTTTTTCTTAAATAGATCTAGTGCTAAAATTGAAACCTTATAATTATTTTTACATATTTCAGATATTTATTTATTTGAAATAACAAAAAAGTTATTCATGAAATGTTATTTTTTTTTAGATATATAGTTCTTTCAAATATTTTTTCATCTTTTAGATATTTGTAACCATGTAAGGTCAACAAACCAGATTCTAACCCAGTTTATATGAAAACATTACCCCAACATTTCAGTTTTTACTTGCAATCTAGCACGGCCTATATATTCACTCAACATTTTTGTGAGTGAATAAAACTGGTTTGGAATGAGGTTTATTGACATAGCATGGTTACAAAATCAAGATGTAAATATGATAAAATTATAAAAATAACATTTCATAACCATTTTTGTTACTTCATATGCAAAAAAAATATCTTAAAGGTGTAAAAATAACCATGAGATCTTAATTTCAACACTTGAATTTATTTAAGAAAAAAATGGAGCCTTAAAAACTCTACCAATCACATCTTTAAATTTTTGTAAAAAAATATTGATTTAGAATTAAATTTATTGAACAACTAACCTTTTCACCCCATATGGTCTTCAATTTTTTAAAACTTTATATATATGAAATGTTAATGACATATGAAAAATCATAAAAAGTCATCAAATTAATATATTATTTTTATAAAATTTGAACAAAAATAGAAAAAGAGATTTTTTCTATTTTTAGAAGCCAAATAATGAGTATCATGATTGATAGGCACTAGTTGTTAGTGCCTAAGTATACATTTTTATTATTATTTGTAATGTTTATTTACTAGTTTTGTGCAAGTTTATAGTTGTTAGTTTGCATTTGATTGTAATCGTATTTCTAGCATTTTATTGTTTGTTGTAAGTTGTAGTTAGTTTGGCTGTAAGTTTAGGATATGTTTGGAAGCAAAAAGGATGAAGAAACCTGAGTTTTGTGCAAAACCCGGTCGGGTATGGACTTTACCCGGCCGGGTATGAAGTGACAAAGGAAACTGCTGCAAAACTAGCAAATACCCGGTCGGGTATTCCATATACCCGGTCGGGTATGAAGTGATTTCGGACCAAAGAACGTGCAGAAGACACAAAAACATGGGAAAATATTTGATTTGGTAAATACCCGGTCGGGTATGTCAAAATACCCGGCCGGGTATCCGGCTATAGGTCTTGAAAACACCTATAAATAACCTCATTTTCCTTCACTTTTAATCATCTCTTCTTCCATACTTCTAAGCTCAGTATAGAATAGTTCTTTCTTTATATTTTTCATCATGTTTAGTCTCCAAATGAGGAGCTAAACTCTTCCATCTTGGTTTTGCTACTTTGAAGCTTAATGAATTTGTATATTGTGAGTTATTTTCTTTAATCTTCTTCCTTGAATATTAATTCTTCCTTTCAAATACTACTTCTATATCAAAGTTGGGGAGTGTTACTAAGATGACAATTAGTTAACATCTTGACATTGGTTATAGTAATAGTTATTTCTTCCTCTATGTTAATATCGGGGAGTGTTACTAAGATGACAATTAGTTAACATCTTGATGTTAATCATAGTAGGATTCATATTCTTTAATATTCTTCCTTGAGTATTAATTAATTCCTATTCATATTTCATGTTAATATTTTAAACATTACTTAAAGTATCAACTAGTTTTGTTTCTCATATTAATTATTACTAGAATCAATCGGTTAATACGCTTGTTATTAATCCGGTTCTTTCAACGGTAGTAAACTTGGAATATTAATGCATACATCTCATGGTTAATATGCCAAGGGGAATTAATTATATTGATTAAACCAATAAATCGCTTGTGTTGAGGTTATCAATCTCAATCGTTTTCATCTTAAGTTTATTGCTACTATCAAGTTAATATACGGCGCTTGTTCTATATTGACTCGATAGTAAGTTTTATTAATGAACGCATCTCGTTATTAATAACTACCCTCGATGAACTGGATATACTCCTCGATTGAGTATTCGAGAGGAAGATAGTTAAAGATATAACCGGGATCGACGAACATTTCATTAAGTGGATAAAAGCAAAACCAAGCCTCCACATTTATTAATTAAACTCATATAGGTTGTTTATCTTAGTGTTAATTGAATTAAATCAAATCAAACATTAAAACCCCCTTTGTTACTATTTATATAGAAGAAAAGTGTTCATTTCCCTGTGGATACGAACCTTACTTCACTATACTACGTATTAGTGTTGTATTGTAAAATATTTTGAGTGCACCTCACGACAAAGTGCACGTCAATGATCTCTGCTTCAAATCTTCGAATTCACTTTGTTTTTTTTACAAAAACTTATTAAATTATATTTATAATGAACTCAAATGAACTTAATTATGCAAATCTAATGTAATATTGTACTTTGAAATACACATTGATATGACATTTTAAAAATGAGCATAACGTGAGTACCAATTGAGCATACATAACTTATAGAATGAGCATTGATATGAAAATCATAAGTTTTTTAGCTAAGCATCAAGACAATTTCATTGAACATCAAGTGATCAAACCCCCTCTATTGAATACTAGAAACATGCAATTTAGTATCATGATTTGTGTTCTCGTGTCTATAATCAATTCTCACGTGAATCTAATGTAATATGATATTTTTAAAATATGCATTGATATAACATTTTAAAATTAGCATAAAACTAATACCAGATGAGCATACACAACTTATAAAATGAGCACCAAAAATTCAAAAGCTCATTTGAGTTATCTAATGTGTTGAAATATTCAATTGTCTATGCTCATTTTTTTTTAATCGTTATACTCATTCAAATATAAGACAAACTCTTTTCTATAATACCTAAAATATTATTTAATGCACAAATTAAAAATCTTAAGTTAGAAGGTTGATTGGAAAAATAAAAAAAAAACAAACTCAAACATTAAATAATATTTTATATAATAATTTAATAAAAAATAAAGTAAAGGGAGAACTATCAAATAAGCCCCCGAACTTTCATAAAAAGTGCAAATAAGCCCTTTTATATGAGGCTCTGTCCGGCCGTCGCTATTTGGGGCGGTTTCCGGTGGATTTTTTTGATGATTTTTTTTAGTATCTTCTTCATTAAGTCTAGTTTATTCATACCAAATTTCAGCTACAAATTCAATCGGGAAGGCAGTTAAATGAATTTTTGAAGATAACTGCACAGTTAGACAGCACAATATATTTCACAAAATCATTTGATTGCCTTCTCGATTGAATTTTTAGCTGAAATTTGCATTGTTTGTAATTGCGCAATGCAATTGCGCCTCATGGCGCGCCTCAACTAATTCCTAGACTATGGCGTAGAAGGCATTGCATATGGCGTTAAGAGTGTGGCGTACACAATATTGCACTGAGGCGTACGCAATATTGCATACGCAATAAGGCGCTCTGAGGCGTATGCAATAGGAGAAGGTCAGGGTGTAAGGGTATTATTTGGGCCCACCCGACCCACTTTTAAATTTTTATAATTGATGTTATGATCCCTATTTCAAACCACTAGTTATTGATTTGATTTTTTCAGTCAATCAATCTAATTAATTTAAATTCTCATATCTTAGATTTTTTTAAACGATTCAGAAAGTTTTGGTATTCTATAGTACTTTGAAGTTTGAACATATTACTTTGTTAGGACTATGGCCTCTTATGGTTTGTTTTAATATAAGTATATAACATTTGAAGACTTTTGACAAATATATATATATATATATATATATATATATATATATATATATAGGGATCAAACCCTTGATCACTTCAAAATGAATGGAGTGGATCGAAAATCACATTAGGAAATACTAAACCCAAATGTGCAATACTTAATACTAAAAGTGTATATACGATATGTAAATGTGCATACTTGCTTCATTAAAAATAGTTATAATTGGATTTTTATACTTCTTATTTTATTTCGAAGCGTGATGCACTTTAACTATTTGGTATTGCACGTTTTCAACACGACGATTCACTCTTACTTTAGCGGATCCAATAAAAGTTGTGCATAATTACCTTATTGCCACCGCGTTTTTGCTTTAAAATTTGATCTGATCCTTCCCTTTTATCAATTTAAAGGCCTAGATTAATTCTTATTTTTCACCTAGGGATCACTTTTTATTTGAACCAATCCATATATATATATATATATATATATATATATATATATATATATATATATATATATTACGCCTCAGGCATACGCCTCGTTGCGCAATGAGGCTTAAGCAATATGCAATATTTAAAAAAACGTCACGACTACGCAATACGCAATTTTGAATCTAGACAATTTGGTATGAATAAACTAGACATAATGAAGAAGATGCTAAAAAAAATCACTAAAAGATTCCACTCGAAACCGCCCCAAATGGCGACAGCCGGACAAAACCTCCTGTAAAAGGGCTTATTTGAACTTTTTATGAAAGTTCGAGGGCTTATTTGATAGTTCTCCTAATGTAAAAGATTGTTAAAGAAAAAATAAAGAAAAGAAAAACAACAAGTAAATTAAAGAAAAAGAAAGAAGGTAAGCAACAAGTCAAACGAAAAAACAAAAGAAAAAAAGAGAAATGAAAAAAAGTAAAGCAACCCGCAAGCTCAAGAGTAATGCCGGCGGAAGAAAAAGAGAAGCAAGCGACGGAAGAAAAAGAGAAGCAAGCGACGGAAGAAAAGTGACTGAGTGAGTGGGCAACGGACTGCTTCCTTGTCTGGTTTCATATAGCGGCATAGGGAGGTAAAGTGCTCCTCTTCTCTCACTTTGAAAAATCACAAAAAGTGATGGGACGAGAAGATGTTCCTGCCTTTCTCCCCTTTCAAATAAACCAAATAATGTAACACAAAAATGCACTCTTCATTTACCCATTCCTCTATTGAACCTAACTAGTTTCCTGTGCAGAACTTTAAGTCACTTATGGCAGAGCCAGAAATACCTAAATAGTAGAGCTAACTTTAGTTTCCTGTGCTTGTCCATTATAGTGCCTGAATGTGTGTATTTTCTAATACTGGTGTAATAAATTGCAGGAAAGAATGGGCGCTTCTGGTCATTTCTTTGCAGAGAGCTTTGCAGTTAACCTTCCTCGAACACTACTCACATTAGGCCGTTTACGCGGCTTTCTTTCCCGGGGCGATTTCCCCCACCTCTTTTTCTTTAAGCGCTGCCGCCTGATCTCTGGATCAGCCCAACCTTTTCCCCATTCTGCAAAGCTAGAATTAGACTTGGGCTGTGCTGTGGCTAGTAGCATATCTGTTTCAGGATAAACATAAAATGCTTCTTCTATCTCAGAGCTCAGAAATTGTCTTCCTACTTCTGTTAGTTCTGGACATCTTATCTGCACACGACTCTGCCACACATGTACACCAAGGGACTGTTAATTGCAGAAAGACATGAAAGAATTAAAATAATAAAAAAAATCTGGATGCATTTTTTAATATTAAAAACTTACACAATAGTAGAACAGTGGAGGGGGTTATGCACAATTATATCTTGGAATATGATATAGATATTACCATCTTCATATTTTCTCTAATAAAATCAACAAAATATTTTCTTAAATAATATGAAAATAGCTTTTGTGCATTATAAATACCACATTTTCAAAATTGTAGGCCTTCGAAAATGGGAGGCAAGTACTATAGCACTTCTTGCACACGCCACACCCCAACACATATACATCCTGGGTTATGTGTAGGTGGGATGGGATGGGATGCTGTGGATGAGGGAAGTTGGAGGTGCGCTGGGAAATGCTATGATACTGGTTTATTATTTTGTTGTTTGTTATTAAAAAATACATAGTAAGAAGCAGGATTCGTTTGATATTATAGGACAACCATTCACTGTATATAAACATTACCATGCCATCACTCTCCCTAATAAATCCTTTTGATTCTAAAATCCTGGTCAAACCTCGCCACCATAAGACTTCAGTAGTGGTCAATTCTTGATGCTGCACAAATACATCATTAATTAATGGGAATATATTGAAAATAAAAAGGGTCAAAAGCCGTTGAACTAGTCAAGTAAAGTCAATTTCACCGAGGAGAAGTGAGTGGGATCACATTTCCCACAAGTGACGTTATGCCACTAGGAGTCATGAATATAAGTGGTAAGACCACTAAAAAGTGATGAACAATTCTAATTATTTTAGATTTCTTTTGTGGTTTAAGTAGGTCTCCTCTTATTCTTAATGAAGTACATCAATAAAATACACGTCGACATACAGTATACAAATACATACATGCACTCACATATATAAATGTCAAAAGTACAAATATGAAACATTAAAATGGTTAATTCTGGTCATAATCAAGTACCCTATTTGAAAAATCAGAAAACCAAGGACACAAATTTGTGTAAACTAATTTTATCTTGAAAGAAATTAAAACATGTAGCATGATATGGAGGGAATGTACTTCGCGAAAGATTCCATGAGTTCGGTGTTTCTATTATGACTACAGGGAATCACTTAAACAAATTACCTCTTCCCTTATTTTACTGACAAGAGCCCTGATATCTGGCATTTCATGCATTTTACTTCTTTTATCAGTGTTGCTTATGATATCATCGTCATATGAGATGTCTGAATAGGTTCTTTGACCCTGAAGCACATAATATGAATCGTAAGGCTGAAGACAAATGGGCAAGATTAAGTACATATCTGTAGAAACTAAGATATGAACATAACATAACTGAATAAGAGAGAGAGTGTAGGTACTCACATAAGCAGAAACAATCTGCATGAAAATTGTAGCCTCAGCTTTAAGGTTCTGCATTTCAGGAGGTCCATTCAGGCATACATCGCACCTGTAAGCAAACAGCAGCACTGAAGATATGCCAGAAGGAAACCAGCATTCAGAATCATGAGGTTATACACCACAAAACCAATTTAATAGTTATTTGCACTGGCAAGTGGCAACAAAATCACCCCTCCCCTAGCTCCAAACCCCGCAACAATTAAAAAGCAAAGAATACATGAAAACTATCCAGTATATGACAACAATAGTATTATGACAATTAACTAGCTTGTCTAGTTGACACAAGCAATGAGGCACCACGTGCTAGCTACATATTGATGACATACAGATGACACTTCTGCAATCCAAACTTCTCGCCGAAATACTCCACAAGCATTTTGGCCCGACAATGAGAACTATGCATGCCATATCTGTACAAAGCAATCAAACAAAATGAGGAAATGAGAGATTAAACCACTTCCAAAAGCAGCACGATAAATACAAATGCTAGCCTGTAGCAATCTGATAGCATCTTATATGCTTGTCTTGTCTGTTCTTCACTTCTTTGACTCGGCAAAAGTGTTGGTATTCTTGACAGATTGGCATATAAAACTGTTCCACATGCAATCAAATACATCAACTAGCATGCATTATCTAAACTTATCCTGCCAGATATGCTGGTTTCTGATAATACTACTGCAAGAGAATGCTTTATGTAGTATTATGCTTTAAACCAAAAAGAATACTTGGATCCTGCCAATGGGATGTGGTTCTCTGGTTCACCACTTTTCCTCCCCCCATCCCGACAAGCACCATAGCTCCAAGCCATCCAAGGAGTTTACCAGAATAGGTACTAAGGTAGCAGAGATAGTACAAGCCCCAAGATCAATCCATTCTGGGGTAAATCCTAGTATTCTGGCCTCCCGCCCAAGAGGCTGATTGGTACCATGATTTACCTCCTCTTCACATGCCTTGGGGAGGCAGTGGAGTGGCACCAGGTTTGGTACAAGAATACTAGGATTCTAGCAATTGACTCTATATTTGTTTCAAATATGATGCATATGTGTTAAGGATTCGATAATAATGAACATACCACAATCTGCCAGCTTTCCATCTCGTCCAGCCCGCCCAGCCTCTTGATAATAAGCCTCCAAACTCTATGGACAACATAATTTATTTAGGGTGGTGGCCCAGTAGCACCAGAGTAGCATTTGAAAATGAAAACTAGAAATGTATGAAGAGTTGATTAAAATAACGACACAAGAAAGGAAGTCTGCTATTTGAAACATGAAACAGAAATATCAAATTGTTACATTAAAGGCAATGGAGGGATGAGAAAATATTTGTAATTTGTAATCATGAGCAGTACAAGAGAAGCAAAAACTGCCAATAGTCCCAATAGACATGATATGAGAAATCTTCTGATAAATACAAAAAAAAGGCTTATAAAAAGTTAAAAGGAAACCTATCATGTGTCATCACGTGAATGCTGTGAAATATACCTGTGGCCAACCATAATGAATAACCCTACGAACATTTGATTTGTCAATTCCCATCCCAAAAGCTATTGTTGCAACAACAACCTGGTTCCAAAATGCAAAGTTTTTTTTATAACTTAACGCTATAAAGTTAGTAAAGTAATTTTCATATGTCTAGAGCAGTGCAATTAAGGTTGAACTGCTGAAGTAGCATCTCTAATGAAAGAATATCATCAAAAGACAGTCTTATTCAAGTTAGGAACAGCAGATCTTATGTAACGGTTTCTCTATACCTATAAATAGAGCGTATCTCCCAAATCTTAGGGATACAAATTATTCACCTCATACATTAGTACGTTCATACTTCATAATTACACATTTTGCAAGCTACCTCTCGGTTACTTTCAAGAGAAGTGGTTTGACTTTTAAAAAGTCATATTTTAGACAATGTTTGGTCAGTCGAAGTTTATATAAACTAACAATCCAACACAATCAGCCTTTGATAACGAAGATTCTCTAAAATATGCGCTCTTAAAAGATGAAACACTTCATCAATATAAGCATGACTATTGCTTGAAATTTCTCAGCTTCGGCTACTCTTCGACGAGTAGCAAAGAAGAAGGAATAACACGGAGACTATGCCTTACAGTAACGATGATGAATTGTTTTGACTTTTAAGAGCATACGTTTTAGACAAGTTTTGCTAGATTTGACAGCACTTATATGAAGTAAAGTTGCATAAACATTGACGAGATGGATAAACAGTAAAGTTGCATAAACATTGACGAGATGGATAAACAGTTAGAATGAATAATCATTATTGACTTCTAAAAACACAAGGTTGAACTACTAATTTAATTAGTAGTTCAACCTTGTGCCTTTAGAAGTCAATTCAAAGTCATTCTATTTCAAATGTTTCTACTCTTTGCTCCCTATAGGCAATATGTAATTGTAGTAAACAAAAAATGAGAAGCAGCTGAAAATCTTCCGTCTATCATCCTCATCTACAAAATGAGAAGCAACAAAATGTTCATGACCATTTTAATCTCTTCAACATTATACAAATATTATCTATTTACCTGTAAGTTGTTTTCAAGAAATTCTTTGTGCACCTGTCTCAGATGTGATTTTGGCAACTGAAAATAGAACATAAAATTGCTACTTTGTTAGTCCTGCACACACTCTATGTCATTGCTTTACAAAAGAACATCATAACATTGGCAGTCTATATGTACCTTAGGAAAGGCTAAACTTGACAGGTGACCATATGCATAAATAAACTTGAGAAAATGTTACTATCAAGGTGGAAACATCTGCACCTTCTCGGAAAGAGTAAATACTAATTTTGATCCAACAACTATAGTTTCCTTGTCAACTTTTATCCTTGACTTCAAAAGTTATCAATTTTACAGCATGAGATACATTTTTATCAGCCATAGTCCATCTGACTATTTCCAGCTCAAATTGATCACAAATACTCATATTTGAAATTCATGCCAATTTACATGGTGCTCTAATGGACCAAATGTGATAGGACGATCACACTCATGCACATTTACTGAACTTTTTTCAAGTTGAAGACCAAAGTGATTATGGTGTCTGACCAAAACTAATATACTCTTCTGAAAACCACTACTGCATTTAAGTATTATAATCGAATTTGACAGATTTGTGCATCCAGCTAAGAATACCATTCGCATTCTTTGGGGAAACATTGACCATAAAACAAAACCTAATATGAATCAGAAACTATAATATTACTATATTATGAAAACACTTGTTATTTCTATAATTTATACTTCAACTGTATCCGTAAGTAAGTACCTGGCAACAAAACCAAACACAAACTGTTTACAATGCAAATGATTGTATGCACAGAATACCTTTGCATTATAAGCGGCAGCCTTTACCCCAAGCTTCAATAAAAACTTTGATATGCTTAATGTTTCTTTCCTAGTGGGAACATATATTATTGTTGGTCCATCTTCCAAGTATTCATGCTGTAGTTTTACTCTCTCTTCTGGTTTATCAAGTGAATTGAAAGTTCTTGGTGGTACAGAATCACGGAAGTCCTTGATTGGTTGTCCACAAAACTCTCCACAAGAAACTGCAGTAATATAAATTATTTTATTATACATGGAATTTTTGGACTTTTTTCCACAACTAAACCTTAGATTTTCCATCTAAAAGGGCCAGTTAGCCATTAGAGCTCTTTTAACATCTCTGTTTTAGAAAAAATAATAGCCAAAAATGGCAAGTTGTACTGAGATAGAAGGAAAGAACTATATTTCAAAATCTAGCTCAAGAAACTATCATACAGCAACCAAGCTTTATTCCCAAATCACAGCCTCAACTCTTTCATTCAACTCCAGTGTTTCCAATACTCCACTCCTCTGCAGGAGCATATACCTCCATACGACAGCTATTCCATGACTAACATAGTCAGTGCAAGGGATTATCACATTTTCATGACAGTCAGCTATTAAATAAGAATTCATATTAAGACTATGGAGAAGTTACAAGAGATAAAGTTTCTGTAATTGAAAAGAATCTGAATAAGAACAAGTTAACTATTGTTGACATATATACACAGAATCAATTAGCAAACTAAATTGAAGAAGCCTTCAAGTCCTCAGATTCTTCAACAAAAGCATTACAGAATTAGTATCAATGTAAGGAATCAGAACTCAATAATTTTAAATAAATATGCCTGGAAATGTTTCTGAAAGATTGACTTGGAAAAAAGTGAAACTAGAAAACCTCTTTAGAATAGAACTTTGTATAAGGTCTTACCAATCATTGATATAAGGAATTCATTACGGAACTTAGAAAAGTACTCTGAGGAATGAAGCCATTCGTATCTTAGAACTGAATGTCTTTGAATGTCTTTAATTCATATAATCATAAATTGAGTATCAGCATTGAAGTACTACTACTTCTACTAGGAAGTCAGATTTTACCGTCAAAATCATCAACATCTTGGATAAGATCACAATCGTCTTCAAGAAATTCTACTGATAATTCTTTTTCCTTAGAAGCAGGCAAATTATATCTCCTGGGAAAACATATGTCCTCATCATTTTCAGAAAAGGCCTCATCATTGAAGTTATTTGGATTATTCTCATGCAGCGTGTCAACTTCAGAAGTGATGCACTCTGAAGTATTAATACAGCTCACAGAGGCATCATCCCGATCTGTAGAGTGTAAAGAATTTCTTCTGAACTTCTTTGTGGAATAAATGCTTATTATTTCATGAAAATCTTTCTGATAGGAAGCCCAGGACGATGTTCTAGAATGCTTTACCTGCAAATAAAGAGAATGAAACAGTAAATTCTACAATCCTACATTTGAAATTGTCATGAATGTAGGAAAAAGGGAGAGAAATAATGTTGAGGAGATGAGTGAATGAAATGTGAATCTATGGCCAGTTGACTATATCAAAGTACATACAGAGTGTATAGATATTAACAAGATATGTCTCCTAAACTATAGTGTACAATGTACATAACTACATGTGTCCCTTTCTATAGCAGCACATCTTATCAATCACATTTACTGCACAATGTCCCTCAAACTAGAGTGAGTACATCACCAAAAGCTACAAGCTAGCCAAATTGGCGACATATATATTCAATTTAGGCCTCTTTTGAGGTTTTCCCCAATTGGTCACTTGAACAGTTGAACCTACAAATTGAGGTGCCATCTCTTCAAAAGTAACACTCTCAAACAAATTTGTCACTTTCATAGTTTCGTGCTATGTTAGGAAAGCATGGAAGACTAGAAGGGGAAGAGTAAATCAATTTCATCACAACAAAACAAACGAGTGTACAACACCTGTATATAAACCTTACAGAAAATCGAAGATTGGGCCGAAAAAAAGAAGTGAGAACAATCTGGGTTTGATTTGACATTGCTAATGACTTAATAATGTCTTCACGAACACGAATAGTAGCAGTAGCAGTCAACGCCATTAGTGGTATATCAAACTTCAAGAACTTCAAAGAGTCCGCTCGGAAGTTTTCCCTCAGAATAGACAATTTCCTGAAATGGATACATGTACATCATCAAAACATTTTACTAAATCCTTTTAGGTAGAAAGGGGCAATATTTCTTCTTTTCGTAAGGATACCAAGGACATCTTACATGTAAGACGAGTTTACGTATACTTCTTCACATCATCAGTCATCACATGCATAGTATACAGTGACTCAGAGAAATCATTTCAAAATTGGATTGTTCTTCATAAGCCAGCCTAATGTAGGCAATATGTCCACCAGTATGCAATTGCCTCCATTGCTAATATGAATGCTCATGATATGAAGATACCTATAACAGTCTAAATCTTAAACAAAGACTCTTACAATTATTACTTTGCCACTTGATGTGTGCTGAATGTTCTACAAGCTGTCGCATCACAGCACAATGTTTTAGCGCATGGTATTTTTGCCTTGTCTACTATGTGCACCTATCTATGTTTGCCTTTCTAATATCTGGAAGTGTGGAAAATAATCTATGTCAACATTTAGCTAGATAACAGAGCCGTCAATCTGGTCTTCTGATTTAGTTAGTTCTTTTGTTTGTTTATTGTCTGCTGGAACTGTCAATTGAGTCCTCATACTATTGAAACAGTCAAATAGGTCACCGTACTATAGAGAAAAAGTCAATTGAGCCCTCGTACTATTGAAACACTCAATCAAATCCCTGAACTATAATAAAACACTCAATTTTCCTTTTTAACCGGTTACTTCTCCATTTTACCGGTAGCTGCTGACGTGTAAGCCCATGTGGCATATTTTTTTCTTTTCTGGCCGATAGACACTAGTCAACTTAAATCCCTTGATGCTGCTCATCTTCCCCAAAAATATTCATACGCATCTCTCTTCCAGAGCACCTATATTACCAATTTTGACACGCATCTCCCTCTCTGTAATTTTCTTCCATGGAACACAACTTCTTCACTGACATCATGTTTCAGTTGGATTGGGAGAAAAATGAGGGAAGGAGACTTCTTCATAACCATCCCTCTGATTCAATAAAAGAATAAGGGGTACAGTACAATCGGGCAGGGAAAGCTCATGCTTGAACATCAGGACGAATCATAGGAGCATCCCGGCGAAGACATCCATCCGGCGAAGCAGACGAGCAACGGCAGCAGGGATTGTAACGATGATGGCGACAAAGATTTGCTGCTATGCTCAAAGTGAATGAAGAAGATCAATAATAAACGGGTATAGAGAAGGGAGGAGGATGGAGGAAGGTGGAGAGTGGAGACAGAGCATTTTGTGGGTGAAGTTGGAGGCCATGGGAGATGCAGAAGAACCTTGCGAGCAAGAAAGAAAAAGGAAAATCAATTAAGGAAAAAAAGGGTAAAGACTTGGAAAGGATAAACTAAATAATAAAATAAAAAATAAAAAAAGTCACATAGGCAGTCGAGGTAGGCAATGAACAGGAGAAATTGATGTTTACAGGATAAATAGTTGAATTGAACAGTTTAGAAGAGTTTGAGGATTCAATTGAATGATTTTGAAGTACTGGGACTTAATTGATGTTTTTGACATAGTAGGAGGACTTATTTGCCAGTTTTCCCTATCTACAATGAACAATACCTATGAGGAATGTGTCTTCTATTTTGGCCTTCCTCAGCAACCCCCTTCACAAACCAACACCATCACACCTTTCCTAACTGCCTATGACACCACCCTTTAAAATCCATCTCAACTGAAAACTTTATGGCTTAACACACCCACATAATCAACTTGGAGGAAAACCATTAGCTTGTGCTCTGATCTTTATGCTCTGAGTATCCCTGATGTCACCGCCCACTCTTAATTCACCTCTCAAAAGCGACCCTTTCGGGAGATCCCAGCCCCCATTTGTCCACTTGCTGTCTTTGTGGCACGCGCTTACCCACTGACGCACCGGAGAAGTTTTGCCTGCAGTTCTGGCTGCAAATCTCTGTATTTCCTGTTTGCTCCATTCACCTATGGCTCCCAGTCCAATGATGTTGTATATTTAAGGACAAAGCTCAGTTCTCTTTTCATATACATGTGATGATGTGAAGAACAGTGCAAAATTAATGGTGGCACCTCCTTCTTCATGTACACCGCAATTATTTGCAGCAGTGTAAATGTGAAATTCACAATCCACATTCCAGATGTAATATGCCTATCAAATGGGCATCTTCCACTTGAGTACTGCTCCAGCAGAATACTGGAAAAACCCCAGGGATGTATGCTTTAGATATATAAGAAGAAACATTTATGCTTGATTGAAGAGCAATAGAGTCTCTCCGAGACAGTGGACCCTAATGTTAAACTCCTTCCAACTGTTCCAAGTAAGGGAAGTATTTAACAGACCTTGGAAGATATCTGAGGACTGGGGTTAATTGAGAAGTTGCTCTATTTGACCATCACACGCCTTTGTATTTTACTTGCTCATGTGGTTAGTTACATCTAAATTCTCTATAATGGGCATTGGGAGGTTGCTATCAGAACATTAAGATACAAAGGGAAATCCAATGTACTGTATTGCTGTATAGAAAGCATGGCAATTATAAAAACATAGCAAAGCAGAATTTTTTGGTAAACACCAATCAAGATTACACAAGATGCACTAAGGGTTGAAGGTCAAGATCGAGGTATTGTGTTCTTTTTGGTGGCATCTTAGCCTACAAAAAAAAGTAAAAAACATAATGTTGTAGCATGAGCGAGTGTCGAAGGAGAAACTGATCAATGTCACTTGAACGAGTGAACTGGTTTGGTTAAAGTACATTCATACTAAAATGAATATATTAAAGCCCAAACAGTTAAACCCATAATGCTTATTTGTGCAAATGTTGCTTGGAAAATGATGCTCCCAAGATATTTGTAGTTTTGTACTACACAGCTACACTTGTTAGATCAAACAAGGTCGCCGACTTTCTCGCTAAATCTTTGAGAAGATATAGGCTTTTGCAACAAGCATGGAAGAGTTTGTTCTACATGCTCCAGCTTGAAGAGTGTTGATTCTTTGGCCAATTGTCACATCACAGCACCCAATAATTAGGCCACAATGTTTTAGCACATCGTTCTTTCACCTTGTTTTAGTGCAACACGTTGAGGGTACGGTGTCTACTATTTGTATACATATTATGTAACTTATGGAGGTGTTTAGTGTGAACATTAAGATTTCTCTTAGTACATTTAACACGGTGTATGAATATCTAGGTAAAGAGACAAGGAAAAATCGGGACATCAGGTCAAGAAAAGAAAAATCAAGTTGAATAAGAAATGTATACCTGTAGTGTGGTCGAAAGTCATGGCCCCACTTAGAAACACAATGAACTTCATCAATCGCAAATAGAGCAATTCCACGTCCTTCAGCAAGGCTTTGGAGGGGTCTTATAAGCCTGCAAGAAATGATAAATTTACACTGATTGAAAGTCCAAAAGCATTAGCAAAATGAATATCCAACCATCGACATGGCATTTACCTTAAAATTGTTTCTGGGCATACATACACAATACTATACAAACCATCCATTGCTTTATGTTCAACAGTTCTATCGATTTGACCAGATCCAAGAAAGCAAGCTGATACTCCGTGTTTTGTAAGCTTCAAGCATTGGTCATGCATCAAACTTATCAATGGTGAAATAACAACAACAACCTTTCCTGTGAGTAATGCTGGAATCTGAAAACACAAAGATTTTCCTGTGGAAAGGTAATTATTTCAAATGCAGGGGCAACTGGCTTGAATGGTGAAATGCTCAAATTGTTTAAATAATTAAATTTGAACAGGAAAATACACGTACCTGATCCAGTTGCTGCAAGCAAGAGGCAGTCTTTGTGACTTAACCAAGCTTGCAGTGCTTGCTTTTGAAAATGTTTCAAGGATGAATACCCAAAATGCTTGTGCAACAAATTCGTGACCTTCTGCTCCCAATATTCGTCAATATCCTCTTCTCCTTGGCAATTAGATAGTGCAGAAGCTTCTAATGGATGACACATATCAGCATCAATCACAGGAACAAGCTTGGCAGGACCTTCTGAAGTTCTATGAAAGGCCTCTGGTTCACAGCCCAATGCAGATTTAACATTGTATTTTCTTTTTACAGGCTTACCAACAGATTTCAAGCTTTCTGTTATGCTTGACTGCCTCATTTTATCACGCGAATACAGCGAATTGGCGTTGTTTTTCCAACCGGGCTTGGTATTAATGGGAACAGATGCAGTACTACTTGATGCGCCAATATTTATACGCGAATTATCCAATATAAACTCAATTGCTTTACTCACTGATGGGCCAACTGCTTTTACAGCATCAGTGATGTCAGAGAATTCAAAGCCCATTCCAAACAACTCAGCTATAACTTGATCGCAATTCATATTGCGGGAAGATGCCAGCTGGAGCACATGTAGATACAAATTTAGTGCAAAAAGGTACTGCAGAATATGATATTAACTTCACACACAAAACACAAGAACTGGTAATCTAGCTTCATGAATGCTTCGGGTTAACCTAAGTCGTAAGATACTATCTTTTTGCATTAAGCATGAGTTCCAATTCTTACCTCTTCCATCCCTTATAAGATGCAAAAAAAAGATCTAGTTTATTGGTAGGGATATTTATTAACAAACACTAGTTTCCATGTGTTAAAAGGAAGATTTAATTCTTAGGTAGGAAAATGGATTGAGAAACATCAAATAGCATGTCCTAAAATGACTAGCCAAAATCTGATAACAAGTATAGCTGTCAGCAAGCTAGAAATAACAAAAAAAGTATCGTAGGAATTGGCTGAAAATAACAGGTATATTGCACATTGACACCAAAATGAAAGTTACTCAGTTTCTCATACATTGTGTATGCCAGCATGCTAGAAAAAACAAGAAAAATGTCCCATGAATGTGCTGAAAATTATATATGGTTAGACAATGACAGGGACTATGAAGACCAAGCAATCAGACACTAAACACAGCTTTTTAAACAAGCAAATGCACTTTTATTTAAGGTGACTTGAAAGCAAATTTCAGGAAATCTACCTAACAAACTGCAGTGAGAAGATAAGCATCAAATATTCAAATTTATCTGCTTTTGTGGAATTGAAAATTCAGTGGCAAGGAACACCCTACCTTGTTATTAAATTTAAATATTATACTCCCTCTGTCCCTAGATTAACTTCTGACTTTCCTTTTCTGGATGTCTCAACATTAAGTTCATACTATGGTAATATTTGGGCAGTAAAAGACTCTTTTACCAATATGAATAGTAAAACATTTCATTTTCTCTGTCATATCTTTAATGAGCGAATCGAGAGCAAATTTGGATAGTGAATACATAAAGATATCTTGCCTAAAATCCCGTGAGATCAAACTACTAACTTAATTTGTGACAGAAGTGATTTTGAAGAAAGCACGCACTGAATACAATTTACGTAAAATGTGATTTGTATGGGTTAAACGCACAGGTGGTACAAAAACTATGGATATTTACTCTCAAAAAAAACTATGGATATTTAAGCATTATGGTAGTTCAACTATTAAATGAAGCAAATAAGTGCCTTAAGTACATCTAATTGTCTCACGAATCAAGATGAAATCATTTGAAGTTTCTGGTAAAATCATCCGACTTCATAGCGTGAATTTCACGTGCACTCCACAGCAAGATTTATGTATTTAGTTGTTCAGCAAAACTAATGAAGTCATCACAAGTCTAGTGCTATTCTTATATCTTGTGGACTAGCTACATATCCCGTTTCTTTCCTAAATTAGTAGGACTCATGGATCCTATCTGAGCTTGATAAGGATACTGTGTGAATTATTTTTTTGCACATAATAATCATTTCAAGAATGTAGACAGAATTTCAATCTGACAAGTTTTTGGATTGAATTTCATAGGATACCATTGAAATAGTTTAATATGCTCCAGTACTTGTTTGTTTAACTGAATAGCTTAGTAGGGCATAAAATGCTAAAATGGCGGTAGTTGTGGTACCCAATTCGAATATTTGAAAGAGAACAGCGCATTACCGTCTGGGAGCAGATAGGAATTCCAGAGGGTGTGAACCTAGAAACGAATAAGAAGATTAGCAGAATTCAGACGCGTACAAAATGTCTGATTAGAAGTTTGGCTTGCCGCGCCCAGTGGGTTCATAATATAGCTAGAACACCGCCTGATGCCGCTACGTTCCTTGGTTTCACGCCAAAAAAGAATGTGTCTTTGTGAAAATGAAAATGAAAAAAGTGTCTTTATGAAAATGAAATGGTTGGGTAGCTGCCATATCCAGGACTAGTAAACTTGGAATTAGGATAATAAAACAGGGTGATACTATCACCTTAACAGAATCTCACTATATTGAGAAAGTGTTGAAAAGATTTGGAAGTTTGCATTGCTCACCGGTCTCCATTCCTATGAATACTAGCAGAAAATTAGTTCCAAATAGTGGGAATGATGTATCAGGGCTCGAATATGTTAGGGTAATTGGGTGTCTGATGTATGCAATGACTACCACACGACCACATATTGCATTTGCGGTAGGCAAGCTAAGTAGATATATGGCCGTAAAAAAACATAACTTTAAGGGTATGTTTGGCACAACTAACTGAAAAGATACTTTTGTGAGCTTTTTAATAACGGTTAGCTTTTAGTGACTGAAAAGATCTTAAAGAGAAAAGGTGGCAGTTGTTTGGTAAAACGCTGACTATTTGATTTAGTTCGGTTTGGTATACAAACTGTTATGACTAATTAATACTAAAAGTCACGAACTTTTTTCAGATGCTACTCCCTGTAGCATCTCAAAAAAGATCTTTTAAATTTTGAAAAGTTCTTAAAAATTGTCATGTCAAACATATATATAGAAGTTTTTGGAGACTTTTTAAACAGTACAAAAGCTAGAAGGTAGAGACTTATGTTTGCCAAACATAGCCTAAAAGTTTTTCATAAAATAAAAGGTCTTTTTTGAGATGTTACGGGAAGTAGCATCTAAGAAAAGTCTATGACTTTTAGCATTAATTAGTCCTAACACCTTGTATATCAAATAAAATTAAATCAAATTGTTGGCTTTTTACCAAACAGCTACCACATTTTCTTTTTAAGATCTTTTCAGTCACTAAAAGCTAACAGTTACTAAAAAGCTCACAAAAGTATCTTTTTAGCAAGTAGCATTGAACATACCTCAAGTCTGAGACCAGACCAAACTTAAATATACCATAATAGACTTAAACAGATCAGAACAGATCAGATTATCATAATTATAAAATACACAGAGATTAGCCATTTATCATACTAGTTCAAATCATATCAGACCAGATTTTAAAAGATCATATCAGACCAACAAATTTCAATTCAAGTAAAAACATCCTAATGAGTAATTTATCACTCCAGATTATGACCATCACCATTCATTTATTTAACGAGGTTCCACAATACTCATATGAGTCCATAAATCAATTCGTGGTTCGAATAGAGTGTCTAAACTTTAAACTTTCAATCTCTTTAAATTACATAGTACTACATTATTATTAATAATTAGATGAACAAAAAGTGACTATTGTTGTAAAACTAACCATTTAACAAGTGTTAATCGTTCATTCTTGTAATCGGATCACTCATACATTTCTAATCCCTGTAATCAAGAATAGACAGATGACTTGATTTATAAGAAGAAAGATATTCATAGATTATTAAACATATATTTATCATTTTATCCCAATATATATTTTTTGTATTCATCTATCCCAACATAGATATAAATTCTTCCATTAACTCTTTAACGTATCTCTATTGGAAATTCAAAGGTCATTTGTCCCATGTTGTTCGGCAAGGCAAATCCACTTAAGTTACTTAACTGGTTGCTAGGTCACTGTTTGCTATGAATAAACCAGTATAGGGCAAGTCCACCAAATACTTCCTTTTACGCGGGGATTGTAACTACTCCAAATCTTTGGAGTTACGAAGGTGTAACTGACACACATATTTGTTTTTTGGGTTATGCTTTTTGGTAGTTATCTGGCAGTAGGGGGTGTATCGGGATCTAGAAGTTTTCGTGTGTGGGTGGTGCATTGGGATCTAGAAGTCTTTTGTGATGAAAGGACTTGAAAACCATAATTGAAATTACCCAATTTCTTTGGAATTCAATTTATTTCTTGCGGGATTAGGATATTTTTACTTGGATCGTAATTCGTCCCAGATCAGATCAGACCAGATCAGACCAGACCAGATCAGATCAGACCAGACTTGGATAGTTATAAAAATACAAAGAAACCAGACCAGACCAGACCAGACCAGTACAGACCAGACCAGTACAGACCAGACCAGACCAACAAATTACAGTCCAAGTAAAAACATCATTACTTACTTTGGCTTTGGTGCATTCCATGTAATGGGTTTGTGTGGTCCCGAGAATTTGGGTATCCCATCCTTGTGGCCTAACAGAAAAAGTAAACATGTTAATTCTACCTGGGGCGTGGAAGACACTTTGATGCTTTTGTTCAAGGAGGAATAGCCTCTCATCATATTGCAACAGAAACACTCAACGTTTTAGCGAGTTTATTCCATCTTAGTGTCTGACTGTTCATCAACTTTACAAACTTCGGGCATTAAGAAATGTTGGGAGTTGTGACTATATCATAGATTCATAATGAGTATTAATCGTCATCATTACTCCAGTGTCGCAAAAGCTCCCACACCTTCGGTGAGGTAAGAGGGATTGAATGTACGCAATCTTACCCATGTACAAAAGAGAGACGATTTCTGAACGACCCATAATGAAAATCACGCCGAAAATTGTATAGACCGACTACCATTTCATAACAAACAAGCAAAGACAATTAGTAAGCAATTTCGCTTTATTACATCATAATCTGAATCCAAGTTTTTTACTCAATTGCAAATGACGGAATATTAGAACATAGTTTTATTTGAAATTTAGAAGAATGTAAATTTGTTTGTAGTTTTTGTGACTTGTGAGTGCTTGCAAATAGGGATGAACCAGGTCCTGGTCCCGGTTTCAGTTCCAATCCCGGACCGGCCGATCCTGGGTATTAAATGTGAAGATCAGAACCGACGCGGGTTTCAACGAACCCGATTCCGGTCCGGTCTACCCGACCAGTTTCGGCCCGGTTCTAGTCCGGTCCCACCCCAGCCCCTTAAAAGTTGAAAGTTAGAAAGTTGTCAACGCCAAGACCTTAACTTTGTGGATGAACTGAAATTATAAATTTAACGTACTAAAAGACAATAACATCAAAGTGATGATAGCCTAGTCATAACTAATAAGCACCAAGATGTTATTTACAGCCGCATCTTGAATATTGTAGAAAGTCACCCCATGTCATTAGGATAATAAGTGTTGTACCCCCAACCTTTACACCGCCCCGTTTACACCAACACCACCTTTTATTCACATAGACACGCAACACGCACAACAAGACGGATGTCCATAAGAACGAGAATCTTGTTTGCGCATCTTAGGGATAAAAGTTGGTTTACAGATAGCATAGCCCATGTCATCATCTTGTATATTTACAGTTTATACATTCGCAATTAAGATTATTATGATCTCAATGGCAGTTCCAGGCGAGAATCTCGGGAACGATGATCAGAAGCTCTCCACAGGATGCAAGAAATTATGATGTTCAAGGAGGTTCATCTCCCCACCAGCTGCAGGATCAAACTGGCATCTGTAGAAACTGCATATTTCATGCAATTAGCAATTGAAAGACAAACATGGATTCTTCAAGGTATCAAGAATGCAAATTTATAATAAAATAACCAAACTGCAGTCCATGTAAAAGTAGAGGCTTTTCACAGAATTAAAAACAAAAATGTAAATGTAGTTAATAGCATAAAAAGGGGAGAAAGGTAGAGAAGACAAGATAAAAAGAAAGGGTACTTATGTCTTTTGGAGACTAAAAGAAGCAGAACGTGCCAAAAATGAAGAGTGCAACAAGTAATAATACACATAAAAGGAAAGTTGACAAGTCCACAGGCTTTATAAAGATAAATTAATTTAAATATTTAGAAAAACTATTCACAGAATGACTGATATTTTACCCACAAAAACTATTCTCAGCCATACAAAGATTAGTATACCTGCCATCTAAGCCGAGTATGACAACGGTATTCTTTTGGTGTCCAAATGCAACAATGTGCTGTAAACCTTCTTGCAGTCGAAACTGGGCCACAGACCATTCAGAACTGAAATATTTGGGCAGCACACCTACACAAAAAAGAGATGCCAAAAGTGAGATCGCAGGAACTATTATTTTTAGAGCATCAACAATAGTATTCGAATATTTCCTCATATATTAATGGGGCCAAACGCCACGTCAAAGCAAACATCCATACTCTCTGAAACAATCACATTTCACATGTTTTAAAATACATTTAGCATTCAACCATAACTACTTTTTTATATTTGATAAAATTTTAAATATATTAATTATTTTAATTTTGAAGATAAGCATCCAAAGATATTTAATTATGATATTAGCTCACTTATAGTTAACTGACAAGAAATTATTATATGAAAATTAAGTAATGTAATAATAGTTCAGAACTTTTGAATTCATATATCTTATTTATGATCAATAATCTATTCACCATTTTTATATTTGCAATCAAACGTGTGAAATAATAGGGAAGACTAATTCTATATATGAAGATTGAAGAAATGACTGAGTATTAAAGAGTTATCTAGATTTGAACTGGTTTGTTTTTAATACAAGTACATTATTGAGCTGTTGTCTGACAAAAATGTGTCATCTATTTGTGTTTCAGCTCAAGTAAAACCTCCACATAAGAATAACCTTGAGACAAACTATTCTATTATAATTTAGAGGCTATAACTTGATAGAGGAATACGTTAAAAAATTGTTGTGCCCAAAACCATCAATCTTAAACCAAAATAATAACTTTCTAATAGCTTTTAGAAAGAATAAACCTTTGATGAAGGATAGATGTGAAGCAGCTACTGGAGTCGTGATATTTGCATCAGATGAATCACGGCATCTCTCAACTCCCAGAGATCCAGATTCAACCTTAAGGTTGAAAACATGAACTGTTCCTTTATCACTTGAAACAGCTAGCCATTGGGCAGTAGGAGAAAACGAAAGACTGTAAATCTCGGCTCTGTCAGCACCTCTCCTAAGCTACAATGAAGTACATAAGCAATTTACAGTATGAACAATTAAATCCACCTTGTGCAAACTATGTTCATGCGGGTTAATAATAGAATTTATGCACTGGTAAGAATTGCCAGTTTCTGGTTGCAATCTTTAACAGTTTAACCTTTCCAAG